CCTGCCGAAGCAAGATATCTTGAGCTCCTCAACATCCTTGGTCCCTCCCCAACCGTTGGTACTTTGCAGAGACTCTCTTTTCCGGTTGATCCGAAAGTAGGTCCTGCCATGCCAAAACCCTGTCGTGCCCATGGCTGGGACATACCGTGGGTTCTGGGGTTGTCAGTGATCAGTGACTGCAAAAGGCAGAAGCACGAAAACTTACACATCTAGCCGCGTCGCTGGCAAAGTTGAGATACTTAGGCGAATCTTCACCGTCTTCGACAGTATTTGTGGCAAGCACATCTGCTTGATCTTCTTCCTCGTCCCAAGCACTCTTAAAGACAGTCTGGGCTGTGAGATGACGATTAGACGCAATATCCTGCTGCTCCGACAGGAACTGCATGAGCGTAGAATAGATCTGGTCATTCTCGCTAACGTATATGGTACACCTGAAGTATGTGTGAAGGAAGTTATCGATCGCTGCATACACTTGATCGAAGAGTTTGGACAGGCCCCAGATACAACCGAGCAGGGTGAGGAGGAGAGATGGATCAAGACCCAACTGAGCGCCCACGAAGCGGTAGACGAATAGGAAGAGCTGGAGTAGAGGCGATGCTTGGCCTGCGGATACAAGAAAAGTGTCCATTATTCCAGGGAACGGCGAAGAAGAGTTTAGTGGTTGGGCGGTGTTGTTCATGGCTTGGAGAAAAGGAGACCAGCCCATCTTGCTCATCTTTGTGATGTCCATGGTGTATGAAGGAGTGAAGTTGTTCAGGCCGTGATAAGGCAGGTTTAGATTGGTTTCAGGCTTGCAGAGGTTCAGTTCCTCCTGTTGGTGACGACGTTTATGCGGGTGCAAGAGCTCGAGCGACTGATCCAATAGAGGCCCTTTCTTGTTCGGACGAGTTAGATGCAAGACTGCGCTGGCAGGGTGGCACAACCTCTCCTCGGGGCCTCCTTTTATAGCTGGAGTGAGGGAGAGAAGCAGAGCATATGACCTGACCCTCAGGTCCGGCCCAGCTCTGAGTTGGTGTTGGTTGAAGAGATGCTGATGCTGTTGTTGTTGCTGTTGCTACGGAGGATGATCAGGCTGTAATTCAGAAAGGCTCGAAAATGCCTTGTTATGCACTTTGGGCGCGTAGTATGCAGCTTGAATCCATAGAAGGAACCCTGTATTTATATCAGTGATAATGTAGGTTAGTTTCCTCCTGGTCCGAATCCTTTGGGAAGTGGCTAGGTCATGTTGGGTCATGTTACCAAGCAAAAAAGCACACTTGTTTTCTTTTTTGCCCTACGTACATGACAATTAGGTACCTAGTCTACGCACTTCCCGTACGTACACACATAATCTGCCTAGAATCTAGGCTCTACCGAGACTGCTTATAGTCTTGTTTTCGTGAATACATGCACGGGTGTTTGATTCACCCTAAAATAGACTACCTATGCCACTTTGTGTAACGATCGAGTACATATTCTCCCGGACCAAACCATAACCAGGTGTGACTCAAACAAGTCTTGGCTATGGGAATAATAAGCAAATGAAAGTGATTTCACTCTCGATGTGGGGTTGATCCGACGAGTTTGTTGTGTGCATGAATTGCGTAGGTCGCGCTCATTGCCTAGTTATCTCTATAGAGTGTGTGAGTGCTAATTCATGTGAGTGGTTGGATTTCTCATTTTGAGGCACCACATGCAACAAGAGGCAAACCCAACAGGCAGCATTAACGCTACCAAAGTTGGAGGTTGTTTTGGGCTGCTTTTCCGGTCAGATTTGTCTTGTTTTTTGCTGGGTCTTTTTGCTGTAAACAAAAATAATTGTCAGCCTTTATCGGAATTGGGGAGACTTCACTCCCAATACGACGACTTACATGCCATTCAGCCTTGTGTCGTGCATCTTCCCTGGACCTGCAGACGAGAAGAGGGGTTTGAAAGGAATAGGCATAAGCTGAAGTGATCAAATCACCTCGGCTTTTCCTATTGTGTCTTTGCATACTTCCAGGCTTGTTCAATCTGGAATACATATCGCGAACCGTTGCGCCCGAATAAGCTTGGGGGTGAGGCTCTGTTGCACTTTGTGAACTATCATATCATAAGGACTTGGTTACATTTGCCTTGTATCAGTTGCATATGAACAAGACTGGTGAACATGCTCGGAGAATTCTTTTCGAATTGATTGGTGCGTGACACTGATACTCAGCCATGGTGGACATGAACACTTGTGAATACTGCTACAGGTGTACACATACCTCAAGTGGCCTGTGAAGTATTATGCAGTGATGCAAGACATGAAGTAGAGAGAAGAAGTGAACATGACTGATCAAGGCCAATCGCTCTTGATGCAGTAGAATATTAACTATCAACACCATGCCGAGCCTCAGTGAGCTGATTCACGGGCACCCTTCGAGCATTGCCCTCCGTCTGAATCAGGTCTCCTACTGAACAATCTGAGGGAAATACGAAAATTTTCTATAACACGCCGATTATGCGAGCAGGCGTCCTCAGAACTGTATAAACCGGTTGATACCCCCACGATAGCCTGCTCTAGTTCCGATGAGGCTCAACGCCACTCCGCCCTAGCACATAGACACACGCTCAACCATCTATCATCTCACCCAAAAACACGCGTGATATCACCGTACACCTACGCCGCAACAGGCTGCTCCTCCAGCTTAGTCTCCGCCAACTTCTCTTGCACATCCTTAACGCCAGCATCCTCACCAAACTTGAATCCCTTGACACTGACATCCGTTCCACCCGCGAGGTAATCCTCGCTCTCACCAATCTCCTTGCCAGCTGCCTCCCACCGTCGGTACTTTTCGTCACGCTTCTGGCGGCACAGCTCGTTCAGCGCTGGCCAGTATGTCTCGTGGTCATACTCAAAGTCCATATCACCGCCCCAGTCGAGGCTCCACAGCTGCTCTGGAGGAACGTACTGCTTCATGTCTTCGTTGAACTTGAGCTTCTCGCGCGTCACGGGATCGATGAAGGGCGTGATGATTTTGAAGAAACCCCATACGATCCACGGTACTGATATTGTCAGTTCTGTTCTTCGTTACAAGAGATAACACAGTACTTACCGTTGATGATAAGAGCCTTGCCTAGTCTCTCAGGATAGTGGTTCTGCAGAATATGCAACACCTCTCGAGCAACAGACACGGGCACACTCGTGTTCTTGCGCTCCTTGCTGGGCTTGAAATTGATCATGAGGCTCAGCATCTCCACTCCAGGCGGCATGAGATCCGTCACCCGCTCGACCATGTAGAACAAGTGATGCAGCTGTCGGGGACTGGTATCCGTGTTTTGTCTCGCCGGGTTAAGATACTGGCACGGGCGACCCTGACGATCATATCCGATGATCATCTGCTTTCCGGTCTCCTGCTCAGGTGAAATGTACTCAGGCGTGAAACCCTCAAGACCATACTCCCGACGCCATGCAAGAGTTGCCTTGAGCCGCTTGGCAGAGTCGTCGACTGACCACTTTGTAGCGCGGAGATAACGGAGGAGACACTCTCGGGTGAGCCATGAGCGCTCGTGATCAGTGATGGGGCCTGATTTGTCCTCCTCATCGGCCTTCTTCTCACATTGGATCTCGGTGATACCCTTGACTTGCTCTAGCAGAGCCTCATACTTTGTCTTTTGCTCATCTGTCAATTCCGGCCTTGGAAGAGGTTTGCTGTTGGGTCCTGGGCTGGCAATTGGTGTCTTTCGAGGACCAGCTGTGTTTTCTGTTGAGCTCGCCATTTTCAGGACGTTTCTTGAGGTCCAGCTTTGAAAGGGTGAAGGAGATAAGTAAAGTCTCACCGCTCGATCAACGTGAGCAATTGGTCAAGGCTGACAAGTCTATGATGAGCAAGTCCGCCAAAAGATGTCCGTAGAGGCTCTAAATCAAGCCTCTTGTCAGTCTATTTTCACTCAAGACTAATGAAAACAGAATTCAAGAAAGAATTCAAAATCAATCTCTCCTCTCAAACTCAGGAGAAGATAAATTGATGGCTTTATCCATTCACGAATTAGGTGACTTGGCAACAGACTCAACAAGGAGCCGCACACGAGCCAGCCAATCACCTTGCAATCCAACAGCGAATTAACCTCCGGGGCCGGCTTCCGCTGGCTGCAAATACAGGGGGTTCTCAGTAATTTCCAGGGGACCTCGGATGATGCGGGGCGTCTATCCTCCATCTACGTTATCATGCGCACTGCGCAGTTGGCCTCCAGCTTAAGACAAATGCAGGCTGACATGCATTTTGATGTGTGTACTCCGTATCCAGCCATTCAAAAGCTCGTAATCGTATTCTTAATACCAACCCTCACTCAATGTTAACTTGTGTTGGTTGGGTTTCATATTTCATATCCAACAAACAATCGTTGCAACCGCCAAATAGAAATACTAATATAGACCTCTTACAAGCGAGTTACCCTATTCTTCTGGATATTGGGATCCAACAGGTCGACAATGATGCATTATGGCATGATCAATTTCTTTTTAATGCGAATTGACTTTATCATATCGATAGAGCTTCCGAAATCTACATTTGAGATAACCGAACAAGGGCAGGTCACCGCTATAGCTGATCATATCTGCCAACTCCAGGTACTTTCTGTCTGAGACCTATAAATCAACATCCAAAGCCACATGCTAGATTGCCCGACACTTCAATGGCTTATATTTTCCTCTATCTCATCTTTCATCATAAGCTATTCCCAGTATCTCCTCGTCCTTGGGTGACCAAACGTCTATCATAAATGTCCACAATCCTCTCATGTGTCCATGCCAATGTCTAAAGTACTTCCAGCTATCAACAAAGACAAGCCAATGTAGTAAAAACAACTAGTCTATCGCCTGCGCACGCCCTTATCCGTGATACTCACTATCACATCCGCATTCCTTTAGCTCCCCAACCTGCTTTTTATTCCGATAAATCATCAATCCAACTCATTCATACGCCTCTCATGTCTTTCTTTTCCGTGCTGCGTTTAGGAATCAAGACGACTTTGCCGCCCGGGTATTGAGTAGATAACTAGGCGCGAACGGGACTGCGGTTGTCACGTCTCGCTGACTTCTCTCTAATGAGCCTCTTGCTCGTCTCTTCGTCAAAGCCGCAAATATCCCTTAAGAACAAAAGTCTGTTATCATGTTAGTTCAGCACCCTCGATGAAGCACGTTCAAACTCACTTGTCTTCGGACGTTTCTTTCTCCCGCATATCTTCGAAGCTCTGTTGACTTTCCATCCAAGCTGTTGCTCGACCTCTTGGATCGACCTTCTTGACCCAAAGGTTGAAAGTTCCAGTCACAGGACGGTGGTCACTCACTCGAACCTCATGCCGCTTGTAATCAAATTGCTCAACACGGCCTCGCCCCCTGTATAGTAGTCGATCACACCAGGCAGGGCTTCGTCTCTTCTCGCTGGTGTCATAGTTGTCAGTACCAACGTCGTACTTGTAAGTTGGCGCAAATGTGATGGGCATTTCTTCAAAAGCTCGGAGCTTGAATGCTGGATTTCGTCTTCGTGCGACCAAAAGCTGATCTCGTTCGAGGAGCTTGCCCAGATTGTTCTGCTTGACTGCAGTGACAACAGTATCACGAGACATGGTATCAATTCGGTAGTTCAAGTCACCATTGAGAATACACAGCTCATGATCCATGATTAGACTGCCATCACCACCACCAACGAAGCTGTCAATGCGAGCAGCAGAATCTCGTTCAACAGCAAACAGATTAGCTTCCAGAATGGCAGCAATGTCATTATGCCGGGCGTTCGCTTGTGACTGTCCCGCAGCCAGATGGCAATTGACGAGGCAGATGGAAGTGTCGTCGACTCGGAAGCGTACGGCAACACAGCCCTTGTTACCGTGCAAACCACCCATGCCTCGCTTGACTTCGGCGCCCTGGAGGCCCCTGATCCTGTCGCGTAGGGTTGCTTTCACAAAGACGCAGGTAAACAACCCAACCATAGGCGCTGTATGAAGGAGGTGGTATAAATCGTCCGCAGGCATGTAATCGTCGAGAGTCTTCATCAAAAAGTCACGCCAGTCCCGATATTGGTGGCTCATTCGTTCCTGGTCTGTTCCGGCTTCCTTTTTCTTGGGCTTCAAGAATCGCTTGGCCGTCAACTTTTTGTCCTCCAAGTCCACAAGTTCCTGGAAACCAAACACAAGGATATCAGGCGAGCCACTTGACTGAACAAGATCTTGAAAGAATGTAGAATCGCCACCAGAATGTCGTAGGCTCGAAGGTGTCGATGCTCCAGCATTCCAGGTAAAGAACAGGGCTCGTATTTCGTCGAAGTCGCAGTATTGAGTATCTTTGGACTTCATTGAATCTTCGAGGAAGTCATCTTCAAGTAAGCCATCCCATGCCTTGATCTTGTTATCAGCCCCCAGTGAAATGATTTGCTGTCGGTCCAGGAAATATGAGCAAGAGGGGTCAGCGGCCATCTTGACAATGGGATTCTCGTGCCCCTGCCACTCTTTGAGAATGACCCAAGGTGCCTCCTCCACGTCATACACACATATTTTACCGGTGTTGTACGCCGCCCAGATGTAGTTGCCTGCACTCGCCAATGCGTTGATCTTCCATGTGCTGATGTTCATCATCATCACACATGAATAGTCATTGGTATTGTAGACAGTCACCTTGCCATCCACATGACCAAAGAAGACCTTATCCGGATGTGATTTGACAAGAGTGCCCGAAGTAACCTCGCCGGCACTGTCCGCTATCAGGGGACGAACGAGCACTTGGAATTGGGTTCGCCCATCAACTGTAGGGGCAAATACTCGAATCTCCTTGCCTGTCGCATGCCAAAGATAATCCCCGATGACCATGGAATGCGTGTGTCCTTTTGGAAGCTTGTAACTCTGAGTAGGATGTCCTGTAATGTTTGCAACTGCTTTTTCATCCGGTCCCCATACGAGTAGTGTTCCCGATTCGTCCATGGTCCAGATTTCGTTCCAATGTCGGAATATTCGTACAACTTCGTTTCGACCATGGACATTTGGCTTGCTCGGTGTTATGGCATGCGTCGCTATCTCGACTTCCATAAGGTCTCCTGTATTGGTACCTATCCATATCCTCTTGCCTTCTTCTCGCGGATCAGCTGCAGGTTTGAAGCTTACCGCAGATGCCTTGATTCCCTCAGTATGCTGTAAGCTCATAATCTGCTCGCCATCGATGAGACTCCACACTCTTGTCATGTAACCACTGGCGCAAATAAATTCACCACAAACGTCGAAACTTCTTGCATCATACTTTGTTGGAATCTCATAAGTTCCAAGCTTGCTGAAGGGTGGTCGTCGATTAGTGTTCGAAGCCTCGGGATACGTCGTAACGTGGTGGATAGGCTCAGCCTTTGGAGCAATTTTTGCGGCAACAACTGGAGTAGATTGCACAGACTTTGGAGGTGTGGCAGCAGCAATCGGGGCGGCAATGGTCGTCGGGGCAATACGGAACTCGGCTGGTGTTCGGTCAGATGCTCTATCTATCGTCATAGACCTGCCATGACCTCGTGAAGGAGCTGCAAGCTGTTGCTGGGGCTGCTGAGTCGTAGGGGTTGAAACCACTCGCTTGGGTGGTGATGAAGTAGGCGCCGGATCGACGGCTTGCACTGCTGTCGTTGCAGTTGGGCGTTGTGGTCGTGGGGGAGGTGGCATGCTATTAATATTGTTGTTTACTGGAGGTCGAGGCGGGATGTCAAAGTTTGCAGGTCTTGCTGGTAGTGCTGGCCGAGGCTCGCCAGTTACCTGTGGAGTTATATGACCTCTTGAGAACCCATTGGCCTCTTCACGATCCTTTCTCATAGTCGTGATCGAATGATGAACAGGTGGAGGATCAAAGCCAACAACCACAGATTTTGGCCTGCTTGGTTCAATGTGCGATTGTGGCCTTGGTCGTGTTGGTAGTTTTGGAGGTGTCTCCTCCCCAGATCCCACGCTACTTGGCGGACTATTAAACGGTGAGTTTTCCTGGGAGATGCCGCCCTTTCCAATGACTGTTGGCCCAGAAAGAGATGCGATCTTGGGAGGCGCAGGTATCAATGCCTTTTCATTGCGAGGGGCTGGTGGCGGTGGAGGAACCTTGGGTTCTCGAGTCCTGATCAGCTCTCCAGAACGTCTAGGTGGAGGCGGTGACGGTGGCCTCGAACCGCCAGGGCGAGGAGACTTGGGAGTATTGAGAGATGGTGAAGTATTAAGTGATCGACTTGGAATCTTGAATGATCGGCTACCGCCGGTTGGTGTTGGAGGTGTCGCAACAGCATCTGGGTTTACGAATGAAGGTTGGTCTCCAACTGCTAGTGCTGAGATTCGACCCTTCGGGGGCGATTGGGGTGGAAGAACTGTCACAGCTGGAAGCGTAGCCGACGCAGGTGGTTGTGGCAGCTGAACTGGTTGTGGTTTCGGAGTCGGAGCTGGTCGTGCGGACGTCGGCGGGGGAGGGGCATCGTGATTCACAGACAGTACCGCTGGTTTAGGTTTTGGTCTCGCAGGGATTGCTGGAGTCGAAGGACTGGCCGGCGGCACTTCTTGTCCAGGCTTGAAATCACGCAGACGGTTCGGTTTGGGAGCTGGGGAGATAGGTCGTGAAGGAGGTCCTGTGGCAGCTGGAGCTGTAGCAGGTGGAACATCGACAGGTTTGCTGACGTTGGGGTTGGTCGAGTTGCCCATGTTCTCGAATCGGGCGCGTAATGAGGATACCGGCTTCTGTAGGACTGTTAGCTTTGTAGATACCTGATGCAATGGGAATCCATACAAGTGAAGAGCCATCGGGCCCTTCTCCATTGGCTGGCTCCATGATAATAGAACAAATGCTTCCTCTCGACAGCGAGGGTCGAGGGTGACTCTACCCGCTACACCCACGCCCAGTCGTCTCACTCATGAAGGCATCAACAGTGGAAAGTAGAAGCTGAATCCGGCGCGACAGGTTGTAATATGCCAGAGTCAAGCAGAAAGACTGCAACGAAGAGCCAGAATTCGAGACGGTAAGTAAAAGCTCCAAAAGTCGGCACTGGGCAGTGACAAGGACGTTGGGGGTCGACGAAAGAGCGGGTGGATGATGTTAATGTTAATGACAGGGGCCTTTGGCGAGAACCCAAAGCGGCTCGTATCGTCGATATCGTGGTGGAAGTGCGTGGAAACTAGCGAGGGATGCTTTAGAGAAGTGTCTTGTTTTTTTCTCATTCAAAATCCCCTATTCTCCTCGTGGCTTCGATGTCGATCTTGCTGCGAGTTGTCTTGCGTGGTCTCTCACAATTTCGAGCTGGCTGAGCCACCCTTATGTCATAAGTGGGTGCGTCTAACGTAGTTCTTGGCACTGTAGACACATGTGCTTTGCGTGCGGCTAGTACTGTGCATATAGGCTCGTTTCATGAGTGATGCACTGTAGAGCTACCAGGGTCAGTGATTTCCGCTAAGGCTTCAGGGGTGTATCAGCGGGGAAACCATCGAAGTTCAAGGTGTCCACGCGGTCAGTAAATGAAACTAGGAACGTCATGATATAAGGATAATCGGTTAGAAAGAGCATTTTTTTAAACAGTTTATGGTTATTCCGAGGCTTGGGATAACTTCTATTGCCTAAACTTTTGCTGAAATTGATATCATGGGAAAGGGTACCTTGAAAATTGTCCGATTTAGTCGTTGATCGACTGTCATGAAACAGTTGCACATGTTTAGCTGGGCTGCAACTTGAAGAAAGCTCTACAGATATTTGTTAGAGATGGCCTCAAGATACTCAACCCTCATCATAAGGCTTACTGTAGATTGTCGACGGACACCAAGGAATGAAGTGCCGATCGAATCTAGAGTTCACAAATCATAAAGTTCAGATTCAACTCGCCGCGTGCCATCAAAACACAAATGAATTGATCCCTGTAAAAGTTGCGCCTGTGACCTTTTTAACGGCAGTTTATGGTTGCTGCAACGCCCCAAGGTGAAACTGTTCTAGCGGCGGGAGATGGTCAAGTCAAGCACTGAAAACCACTGGAGCTCTTCAACGGTACGTACCTAAATCTGGCGCAAAGCGGCAAGGCCTGGACCTCGAAAGGAACCTCTCGGTTCATCATGTCAGGCCATTCCACTTACACCTTGACAAAACCCTGCCTCTTACAATCTTTCAATCCTGCGTCCCGATTTTCTCTCTCAAAAATTTCAACATCACTCTGAACTGCCGATTATCGCCAAAATGAACACTGTAAGTTTCCAACGAGACAAATCCGATTATTGCGCCGTTGATACTGACTGCTCTAGGTCAAATCTTTCTGGTTCGTACTTTTGCGCCTCCGATTTCCGCTCCCCCGATCTCTAGCAATTCGAAGCTGACAATGTTAACCATAGGCTGGGCTGGGGCTCTCTTTGCGTCGGTAAATACCCTCACAATTCCTTCTTCCCTAATACATCAATTGACCATATCATAGCTGGTGGCGGTGCCTACTACTTCGCTAAGCAGCAGATCAACGCCGACCGACAGGCCAAGATGGAAGCCCACCGCAAGAAGAGACAGATGATTGAGAACTTGGAAACCACAGAGGGCAACGGAAGCCCTGCCCGCACCGATAGCACGGGCTCCCCAAGCCAAGAAGCAAGCAGTGACCCTGCCCCTACGAGACATGCGCCCGAGACTGAGAGCCAGCGAATTGGAGAGAAGAGCAAATACGAAAGTGCAAGTGTATACCGAAGTCCAAAGGGAGATCGATTTTCTTAAGCCAACAACCCTGGAAAAGTGTATATGAGGAGAAGGCTCGGTATTGGAGCTGTGTATAACAATTACCTTAACGCATCGTCATTATGAATTACTAGAAAAGGCAAAGAATTTCAGATTGCTTGGATATTTCGAATCGAGAAACTAGCAAATTGAATTTATTTCATCTGCAATTGTACGCAAATTTGCTCACCAACGCTGTCATATTCGGTGATAAGCTGGATGCAACACATCTTTACGGACAAGACCGGTTGGAGTGGAGCCTTGAACCTAGTTCCGACCTCGCTTGGAGCTTCTACGGAAAGAATCGCTCTTTTCTGTGTTGCTGCAATCTTAGCACATTCTCACTAAATCAGTATTACGAGAAACTGAATTGGGTACTCTTCTGAGATGGTACAGCTAAAGTGACGTTATTCGCGGCTGGTCATGAGCGTCATACTCGAAATACCGCTTGTGCAGCCAAGCCACGTGCTGAGAGACCCGGTAATTAGCCGCATTCATTGTAGGAGGCTCTAACTTAGCCTCAGCTCCACCATAGCTTCAAGAATCAACTTCGTTCATTCAACATTCTATTGTCCTCGTATTAGAGTCTCTAGTGACTACTCAGAACAATGGCTACGCCAGAGCTGGCCATCGCAAAGGCCACCCTCTCTGCCACTCTCTTCCGCGCCGATCCAACATCTCTTAGCCGTCCAGAAGTCGACGCCTTCTTCCCAATCCTTACAGACGCCCTCGCCAAGTGCTCGCGCCCCAACGTCCAGGTCTGCTCCATCGCTTGAAAAGCTCTTCCCTCTGTACCCAAGCAGAAGTCACTAAATTTTGCGTGCTTTTTTTGGTCAAACAGAAATGCAAGGTTTGGATCATCGATAAAATTGCGCCCTCTGCCGCGCGCACGACTGCCCTGGCAAAATACTTCAACGCCCTATCCAAGAGCCTACAGGACGACGGCTCACGACCGAGTCTTAAGCGACGGAGACTGCATCTTCTGTATGTTTTAAATGACGTGCTGTATCACGCCGTCACGAGAAATGATGACTTCAAGTTTGCGACAGCTTGGGAACCCGTTTTGCCTGGAATGATTGCAAGCGCCGCCGCGTTCGACAATTGCCCGAAACATAAACAAAAGATCGCTGATCTTATTCGCCTGTGGGAGAATCAGCAATACGTCAAGTCTAGTTTTGCCAAACAGCTCGAAGATGCTCTCGCAAGTGGTGTCGCTCCTCAAACTGCCCAAGAAGCGCAAGCATCCAATGCTACTTTTAAGCTTGCAAAGGACGCGCCCTATACGCTCCCTTCTTTCCATGGCGATAGCACAGTACCGTGGTACGATCTGCCCGCGACAACATGGTTACCTCACTTGACTCCGAATTCAACAAAACCAATGTTTCCCGACCAGATCCGGCCTATTCAACTCGCGGCTGGCCCTGCAGACAAGGTTCTTGTCAATGCTGTACAAGACCTCCTGGGAGAAGTTGAGCGCATGTTCTCAAAGGAGCAAAAGTGGAACGACGAACCCGGTAACGATCTGAATGAGTTGGGAGAACGCGTTGTTTTGGATGAAATCACTGGCGAGGTTATCGGAGGAGACACATACTACGGCTGGACCCGTCAGTTTTGTGAGAAAATGAAGGAGAGAAAGAAGAAGGATAGAAAGGGGTCAGACAGGGGTCGTTCGCGCTCCAGATCTCGCAGCTATTCTCGTAGTCGATCACGAAGTTCTTCACGTCCCACGCATAAGCGCCGAAGAGCTTCTCAAGACTCCAGGGGTCGAAGTCTTTCCCGCAGCCGAAGCCGGTCATATAGTCCTGATAACGATCGCAGCGCAAAACGACCACGCAGTCCCAGCTACAGCCGAAGTCGAAGTCGGAGTCGAAGCCGCAAAGCACGATTTGAGCGTCCGGGGTACAGCAGATCACCGTCGCATTCGCCTCCACGCTTTCAGGACAAGGACCCCCAAGATCGTCCACATCGCCCACCCCCTTTCCCTCAACAAGCGCCTCCAGCACCTTTCCCTCCTATCCCACCACCAGGAGACTTCCCTGCTCCTCCGCCTCCCCCAGCTGGCTACCAAGGTCCATGGCCACCGCCGCCGCCTCCTCCTCATATGGCACCAGGCTGGTTCCCTCCTAATCCAGTCATGATGGGCCAGATGATGGGTGGCTGGAATGTTCCGCCGCCTCCACCTCCGCCGCACAACGGATATCAAGGAAGGGGAAGAGGAAACGGATATCGTGGTAGAGGGAGGGGTGGATATGATCGGGGTCGAGGATGGTAAGGTGTCCAATGAGGCATTTGTAATAAGATACACTAGTGTACAACTACATGTCAACAATAGATCTCTGAATTTGATTCACATCTTGCACACACAATCTGATCCATGATTTACCAACATCGTAATAGTAATGACTTTTATTTTAGTCTTGCTCATTCCTCGTCTACATAAAGCCAAGCAGACCCTCAATCCCTCTTTACACACAGCAAAAGCACAAAAACACAACTCAAACCTGGGACCAGCGAAGAACTTACAGCTCCTCCATGCGCCCGGTTCCATGTCGCGAAAGGGTGAAAAAAGTGAGACAGCCAAAAGAAGAAAAAAGAAGAAAAAGAACAAAGTTAAGTATTCGCCCGAAAGAGTTACACGAGAAGCGTAGACATCCATGTTTTTTTAATGCTCGGTTCCCATCATGCCACGACAGGCAATATAGTGTAAAAACACGCGTTCTTTTCTTGTCATTTTGAGAGCCAGAGCGGGTACTCAGTAGCATTGTAATATCTGCACGCTTTTGTCCTCCCCAGAGCAATCCCCCCTGAATGTGGTCTAGCTGAGGGGCAAACCAAGAAAGAAGGTTGAAGGGTCAAAAGGCGAAATATAGCGACGGTGCTCACACTGGCCAGTCCCAATCCCAGTAAAAGCGACTGTATGACGAGTACGCGTGTTCTTCAGTCCATTATTGAACCGCGAAAAACTAATCCCTTCTCATAATCATAATACCACCACCAAACACGACTATGCAGCAATGATCGTTATCCGAATCCACCAGTGTCCCTCTGCATTCGGCTTCGGAAAAGGGATTCGCCCCTTTCTTATCCAAGTTCGAGGCATTGACGAATGTTGGATTGCTAACTTGGATTACCGGCTTCGTGTAGATCCTACAGATTCCTGTCGCTCGTGAAGATTGGGTCGGCCGTCTTGCAACTTAAGCGAATCGAGGCGCTTCGAATTATCCTCGGTTTGTGGGTCGACTTCGTCTACACGAGGCATGGGGTTGACATGGTTTTGTGCTGATGGGGCATCGGCTGTTCCATTGCCATTGCTTTCCCTCTGTTGGTTGGCCTTCTCGCTCAGAGCAGCCCATTTACGCTCTCGAAGAGCTTCACGTGCTGCCGCGCTGTTCTGCTGTTCTGTGTAGTCGTGCGAGCAGTCATCAAATAACTGTGGGTTAATCTCCATGAAAAGCTTCATAGCATTATAAACCATGCCGTGGATCGTTCTGTAACAGTTAGACTTGATCCCTCGGAGCGTCCAACGTAACATACCTGTTCCAGTGGCCCTTTGAATTCTCGTAGAGAGGAGCAAACATAATGGGCAGAATGATCTCAACATTGTCGCTGACAAGATTGCAGAAGTACTCGTTGTTCCAGAAGTATAGCGCTCGCTCGGCAACCTGGAAGTGAGGGCTGGCAACAGACTTGGCGAGCTGGTGGAACAGAGGTTCTTGAACCTTTGCAAACTCTGCAGGGTCCATGACCTCAAAGATGTCTTCGACTTCGTTGAGGAACATGACCTCCTTTGTGCTGTTGACCTTGGGCCAGTAACGGAGTAGTCCCAGAACCACCTGGGATGATTAGTATAACGTCTAGAAACAACAACTCCAACTTACATCTTCTGTAAGAGAAGCATCCTTCTCCAAGAACTGGACAATACAGTATGCCAGCTGAGGGTGGTACATGCTCAGACTCTTGGGCTTGTGCAGCGGCAATAGCACTCGGGTCAAGAAGATCTTGTGCTCCTCCTTTAGAGGGAGAGCGAATCCGTTAATAATAGAGCCAAGAATCTCGAGCAACTCGGCAATACCGTTAAACCGCTCGGTTTCGTAGGTGAATTGAAAGAAGACATTGTTGATTGATCGTCGAATAAAGGATCGTAGGTTTAGGAATTTTCCGTAAATGCGATGGAGGGTGGTCTTCAAGAAGTCTCGCTCACGGGGGTCCTCTGAGTCAAAGAGCTCGAGAAGCTGAAGGACAAAGCTGTGGTCAATGTAGGCCTTGGCGATGTTGGTGTTGAAATCCTGACTCTCAATGAAGCGCAGGAAGAACTCATAAACGACCTGGATATGCGGCCAAGCAACCTCGAGAACGGGCTCATCCTCTTCGGGATCGAAAGCCTCGCCTTGAGGGTTCATTGGAGGAGGGATCGGACGGAACAAGTTCTTGGCAAACATGTCGACAACCTTGGGGTACATGGGCTCTGTGATAACTTGTCGGTTGTTGGCGACATAATCCAGTAGCTCGTGCAAAGCTAGCCTCTTGATCTCCTTGGACTTCATGTCACCACTCGCATCGTTAAAGTCGAAAATGACGTTGCACTGATCAATCTTTTGCATAAAAAGTTCTTGTCGTCGGTTAGGGGGGACCTCGTGGAATCCAGGCAACTTCTCGAGCTCGCGGTGGGCCGAGATATCGAATCGTGAAGAATGCTGTCTCTTTGGGGTTCTGAGTCCCTCAGGAATCGCATCGCGGTTATCTATTCCTCGATGGATCAAGAGCGACTTTTGTCCTGCCTTTGGAGGGGCCAAATCGTGTGGCATCGTCTCGGCGGCTCCGGGGGGAGGGACATGCTGTGGTAATTGTGATTAGTCTAAAGTTCGAGATTGAATGATAGCGAAAAGTATAACTTACACCTGGTGTAGGGCTGATGACAACAGTTGGTGGAAGTCTCGAGTTGCTACTTCCGCCGTTGGGGCTCGACGCACCTCCAGTTGCGAAGCGATCAGGGGTGCTGC